AATCCTCCTCTTTAAAGGGGCGTGGGAGCCCATTTGTTCTCTCCCCCAGCCACAACAATGGCCCCGCCTGTAGATGCGAAAGCCATTGCGTACGGTCGCCAACAGCTGACCAATGCTCACACGATAGCCGGATTCCTCCCAGGTCTCCCGCTCAGCCGTGCGCATGGCGGGCTCCCGCCAGTCAGTCTGCCCTCAACATCGCCATTGTCTTAAGTTTGCAGTTTAAAAAATATATAGTTTCAAAAAAAAACAAAAGCATCCATGACATTTGGAACACCAGAGCAGCTGCTCCCTGGCCTCCTGGAATGTCGAACTTGTTCCCATCATAAGTCAGCTTGATGACCAGCATCTTGGGACCATTGGTGATGAAGCAGCCTGAAGCAGCAGCACCAAGGGCACAAAAGCCTCCTTGAGTGTTGCAACAGATTGCCAGCTTGCATGAGTCCAAAGCTCGAACAACACATTCCGATTGAAAACATGTGAAAACCCTGTCGGTGCCTGCATGCACAGGCGAGGCATCGCTTTCAGTCAATAGTCTCTCCGGCTCTGCTGATACGGTCACCAAAAGCATCAAACGCCAAGCAATAGCCATGCGTGCGAAAGCGATGTGCAGTGCACACTGACACAGTGGCTGAAGTGGGCCAGGTCAGACTTTGGGCCAGCAACTGAAGCACGCAAGTTGTATGGACACACTGTGCCTGCCAAACAAATAAAATCGTGTTGTTTCCATTTGCTTCCATTGTCTTTGCAGCTTTTGCAGGACAAACAACATACAGCAATTATAGACCAGTGCTATACTAAAAATCGAAAGTGTACCTTGTATGGCGTTGGCGCCTCCGGCGTCCCGTTGCCACCTGGACCTAATTCCTCACTGCTTTCTGCTGGCAGGTCACATATCCTCGCGTCAACTCGAGGCCTCTCATTTCCAGCCGTTGAACCCTGTACACAGGGACCCGGTCGCCGCGCCTGCGAACGAAAGAATGGATCAACGAAAGGATTGTCTGTCGCTCAGCACAAAAATATCCTAAATGACGCGGTGTCATCTCACATGGCTAGCACAGGTTTTTGCAGCATTGTAGATCAATTTGATCATTGTTGCGAATCTGGAAAGAATCAAAGTATAGTTTGGACTTTGCTTCACTCCTGGGTTGGGCAACAACTACATGGACAAAGACAAAGTTGCCAAATTTCAAGCTTCCCAGAGCTGTGGAACCTTCCGTCACTCTTGGATGTGGAATCTGTAGCGACAAAGGTCAATTCCCTTGTCAACCATCGACACCTCAGCATTGCCTGGTATGGTTTCAGTTTGATGTTTGAGGCTGGCCCAATCCCACCTGCCCCGAGCATGTCCTGCACGTCTCAGGCGCCGCTCCGGTGCAGCAGGGCAACGCACCGAACGGGCTGGCAGGGCGGGAGCCACCAAGGCTTCCTGGAGTCAAATCAACAGATTGGGTGACCCAAGCCGCCCACCACCCAGATGACCCATGATGACCCTAGCCTCGTCTTCAGATCCAGAGCCATAGCCAGAGCGTCTACGCAGGGAAGCCAAAGCCTCGGCAACATGACCGCCACTCCTCCGATTCGAAGTCACGTCATACTATCTCCCCGTCCAATGTGAGACCCTACAAGTATAATGTTTATCAACACTCAGACCATCAACACATTTGGAGGCCATCACTCTTAGGTTGGAGGCCATCGCTTGTAGTTGGAGGCATAGAATGTTTCTCAGTCCTCCCTTCCAAATAGGCCCCCGCGCCCACCGCATCCTACCGCTCCACCGCTCGTGCATCCAAAGCGCCTCTTCGGCGGCAGCCAAAGCATCGGCTTCGGAGGTCCCGCGACCATCACCACCCAAGGCTCGTAAGAGCTCCTCCGGGAGGCCCAGCCTGAAACGTGAGTCAGAGAGGTGTTCGATGGAGATGAGAAGTGCAAGCAACAAATCCCCGACCTTTTGAAGGATTCGTTTCGGGGCGTTGCAAGAAACCTTTGATACTCCATTGTTGCAAGTTTTTGCAAAATGTGGTTGCCGCCATAGTCGTCAGAAACTTCAGGGGTGGGAAAGGATACCCGCTCAGTAGCAGCTAAAGTCAAAGAGCAATGCGATGACGATGACCTTTTTCCAATGGTATGCAGATGGTACGGTAAATGACGTTGTGCCATCTGGGTGGATCCTTGGGTCATGTGCGATGTTTCCTGGGTTCTCGTTCTCTATGTCGTTTTATGCCTGGCAATTCGCCGAGAAGGTTGGGGTGATGCGTGGTGATGTGTCTTCATCAAGCTAGGTGATTTGAAGTTACCTTCATTTCACCTCCTGTGGTCGGACAGCACCACACGTGGCCGTCCCTATCTGGCCCTTACTCTCTTGCATCAGACACGTGCTTGCAACTGCACGTCATGTTCAGCCATCGAAAACAAGCTTGCAATGGCTGTGAGGCCGCTGCGCCTATCAATCAAACCCTGAGCCCCTTCGGGGTATAATCGATTTAAATTCTGACGATGGTGGAGATCAGCCAAACAACAAACCACCAATGGCCCCCATCAAGTCACAAATCAAAAGTCTACCACATCTGAGTCATCCAGACCCTTACAGCATACTGGACGGCAAAGGACAATGATTACAGCCTATGTTTCTAACGATTTTCCCAAAGACATCCGTGAAGATCAATGCTTTACAGTATTTCAATCAATACCACGTTCACTGGCCGCGAGGTGGAATGAATTCCTCTTCCTTAAGATTGTTCCTATGACCCCTCATCAACAGGGCAAAGAACAACTTCGCTGTTGAACCCGAAACGCTTGGCAAACCCCTTCAATCCAGTTGAGTCCCACTACATGCTGCTAAGCGACTCGTTAACGGCTTTGGAGCCCAAGTGCTCTCCACTAAAGCTCCCAAAGCCACCGAAGCCACCTGGCCTGCGACAGAACAGGTCCAGCAAGAGCCACTTAGTCCCAATTGTGGTGACAGGTGTGGTAGGACGACTAGGCCAGTAGCACACTCGTCACTTTCTCTCTCGCTTTCTATCTGAGCGAGAAAGCCTTGAGCCACCAGCACGCTTGCCGTGGTTGACCCTGGCCAAGATGCCCTCCCGGAGGGCTGCGGTGTCCACCACCTCCCGGCGGGTTGGGTCGATTCGGGCTTCGTGCTATCACGGGCACTTCACGAACTTGGAGCAGGGCCCAACTGCATCCCAGAGTGGCTTCCCTCTGTTCAGAGTGGCCTAGAAATCTCCATTGGCTACTTCCACTCCCTTCCACTTGCCTCACGCACCCCGAAGCACTCCACGAAGAGCGGCTTCAGCTCCGCCGGGAAGGCGCCGCTCATGGCCCAGGCCGCAGCGGGAGAATCCGCCAGGTCAGGTGCCACTTCCCAGAAGGACTCGCCTGGGAACCCGCACACCGGGAGGTTGAAGGTGCTCCGTGGCCAATTGCAAAGCAAACGGAGAACATCAACGGTATTTTGGCTGAGTTTCGGAATTTCATGGAACATCATAGAACTATATACTATAAGGACTTTGGACAGGCTCACTTTCGGCGAATATCACAAAAACATATAAACATGAGATCCCACAAAAATTAGATGGTGGCCCAAGAAACACACAGAGATTCTCCGGAATAGAGCTCCATCATAAAAGCGCGCTACCTGCAAGGCCAGTGAAACTAGATTGCCTTGACTGGTGAAGTTTCTATGTTGGTGGAAGGACTCTTGGAAGGTTTCCAGCTTCCTTGTGACGTTTCCAATGAATGCCCGGAAAGCAAGACAGAATCTGGACCGGCCCTCATGATGCCTCATGTGTAGGACTCCTGGCCTCTACTCTCCACTGACTCTGGCCACCCTAGAGTCGTTGGCCTCGCCTCGAGCATAGACGACACTTGCGGTGGGCCACCCTGTGGGCATGGCAGTGGCACCAGCAAAGTGTGGACGGGTGAGAAGGGCCGCAATGCATCACGCTGCTGGCCTTGCAAGGATGCCATTCCTGGAGGAAGCGGGGTCACTTCAGAACACAAGTTTTAGTTCACTTTGGAACACAGGGTTTTAGTTCGCTTTGGAACACAAAAACATGGGTCACTTTGGAACACAAAACACCCAAAAACATGGAAGGGTTAGCAAAAAGCGAGATCACTTTGGAACACAACGCACCTGATTTTTTGGTTCACTTTAGAACACACACACACAGACACAGATGGGGAGGGTTTAAGGATGAAGGATGGGGTGGGGTGGGGTGGGGTGGGGTGGGGTGGGGTGGGGGGATGGGGTGGGGTGGGTTGCAGTTAGCAACCAGACAGTGCGACTCTGAAGTGCTGAAAGGGTTGCCAGATTGGACAAGGTCAACATCTTCACACACTCTGACACTTGTATTCAGTGACTCAATTCCCACGCTGAGAA